CAAAGTCGACAACGGAGCTAAAAAGAAATCTTCACTGCTACAATATTACATAAACGTCACTGTGACTACTAGTCTTAAAGACCCCAAGAAATCTTCACTGCTACAATATCCCATAAAAGTCACTGTTATTACAGAACCCATAGAAATATTCACTGCTACAATATTCCATCACGGTTACCCTTTTTTAGTAACCGTGATTCCATAAAAGTCACTGTGACTGCTAGTCTTAAAGATGCACAAGAAATCTTGACTATAGCAATATTTCATGATTTTGTCACAAAATTTACAATAATTAGTTCAATGCAAAATTATCAAGTTTACATTTACAGTACGATGTTCAACAGTACAACAATCGTATCGAATAATGTCAAGCGTAAGTCGATACAAACTCTAACAGCGAAGGTGCATATATGGATGTCAGATGTATAATAATTCAAAAGTGCAAACATTGGTTAGTGCTGCTCAATTAACTTTTCTAACATTTTTTTAACGTTCAATTTGAAGTCGTCTACTATCTTTTACAGATACCAGTAACATGGTGAATGCATGTTTTTCAGATATATGATATCTATTCATTTTGAGGAGTATATACTAACCTTGTAATGTAACTGTTGCTTCGTAATTCTTAGTGCTGCTGCCATCTAGCGGTGTAATTTTACAAGTATAAGTAGTATTGGTATCTGGTGTAACAATGATTGATAACCAGCTGATTTTATTATTACACTCTGTGTGCGTTTCTGTAAGGGGACTACCATCAACGATCGGTGACCATGTAAAATTGGATTCGGTATGTGCACAGCAGAATAAGAAAACTTTTCTGTTCTGACATGATACAACGTTTTCAATACACTTATTAGTCTTCACTATGAGATAAAAACTAGCTAAGAGTGTGCCGTCTGCTTTTGCTGTAAAATTATATGTTGCAGAGTCACTGAGCTCTAAATTAGTAATAACCAAGCCGACTCCAATTACTAATATGTATTTGGCATTATCAATGTTAACATCATTGTTTTCTTTCTTGACCATTACGTCAACAGGTAATTTAAATGGCAGTATGACAGCCATTCCTTCATTACCTGTCACTGTTGTTGCTGAAATGAAATAAAAAGTTTTATCTTAAACGGTTTATATTCAATACATAAATAACCAAAAGTAAAAAGGTACTAATTAAAATGATCAAGTAAAACCATATTAAGTCTCTGATTCAATTAATATTGTCAAGAGGCAACTAAAATGTTTTTTCCTGCTTGCAAACCATGAGCGGTTGAAAATAATAAAGCAAGTATTTTCCTCCTGAAATCACTTTTTGTCGACTAACTACCAGATTCTGCTGTTAATTTGCCCTGGGCCGTTAAACGGCGATTTTTCTACAGTTTTTCAAGATGTTATTTTAATCTTTCTCGATGCCTAAAAGTTTTACCGTAGTCGTTGATGCCTATTCAAGAGTATGATGTTTATTGCAACTAGCGTGAATGGGTAAACAATGTTGAATTATTCTTTAAATGCTCAGTTTATTTTTTTAAAACAAATAATTTTTATTTAAAAACAAATCATGTCGCTTTCCCATCAAAATCCAAGCCAAAAGATCGTACTACAACATTGGCAAATCTCTTCCGTGTTGCGTTCAATAATATTAACATATTTAAATGAGCTATGGTAATTTGAACACATTGGCATCATCCAGCATTTTGATTGGATAATTAGCGATTTGATCTGTGAGGTCAAAGAACACCGTCCCAGGTCAAAACATGGCGAAAAATTATTTCTACAGCATCGAACATTTAAAATGTGACCGAAATCATTCGCTTGCGATGAAATAAGATAAAATTTATTTGCATTTCATAACGATTCAACAAATTTATTTTTTGCTCGTTACTATAATTACTACTAGTTAATAATCAACAATTGAGAAATGCAGCATGACTGGATTGCACAGCAGTGATTATTTGTTACTAAGCAATACAGTTTGTGTTTGTTTTTATTTGCAAATATACTTTCGTTACTAATAAAATGAATAAAAAATAATTATATTTGGCGCATGATGTTCGTTAATTTTTTTTGTTAATCCAGCAAGAAAAAAATTTATAAAATTTTAGATTATTTAGCTTCTGCAATAGTTTATTTCGTTTTAGGTGGTCTAACTGCCGACTTTTAAAGTTGGCATAGGTGGATTTTTCAATGAAAATCCCCAAAAAATATTTGATGATCATACAACAGCAGTGAAATCAATTTTTCGGATGGGCGAATTTACGGCAGAATTCGGTAGTAGTTGCCAACCGTCAAAACAGAGACTAGAGTTCATTTTATGCACAGTATAAATACATCATTCATAAAGCCTCACTAATCATGAAGCTTGCATACACAATTCACTCATAAGTTTTGAAATTATAAGTGATATTCATGAAATCACTTTGGATAAAAGTAAATGCAACTAGTTTGAGAGTTAATGTGCGTGTGTATGATGGTATTTCTAGTTTATTGCATTTTTATTTAATTAAACTTGAATTAAAATGCAATTCTATGATAAATTGAATTGAAATTGAGTTAAATTCAACTCCAATTAAATCGCAACCCTATATAGTCGCATAATCCAAACATAAAAGTCAATTCAACAATATTAAAAGTTAGTCCAATGTGTGTCATCACGATGGTAAGACGTGCATGCGTGTCTGTGTGTGTAAGTAAAATTTTTATTCCAGCCACCAAATTTGTTGCATTAGCCAGAAACAAGTAGTTGAAAATGCAACTGTCAATGAATGATGTTTACTGTGTTAAAGAAACATGCACAATGATAACATCCTTATGATTTAATTGTATTATATTCAGAAATTGTTCAACTTTTGTTTCAGTATAAATATTAAGATAATTCTGCTCTATCTACACATAAAAGAGAAACTTAGAGCGCCTTGGTTCAATATGGGTTCCATGTAATGTATATATTGTTAACATGAAATTTGACAATGTGGTCATGCGAAACAAGGAAAAAGTTTAAATCTTACTTGTAACAATTCTAGAAACATCTTGACATCCACATCCACTTCCACCAGTATAAGACACATTTTGTAGAAATTTACTAAATAAGAAAAGAAATGTAAAACAGTTTACTAGTACATATATTAAAATTAGTGTATTTAATTCTACGCTAAGCATATTTTTACTGGTGTTCTATAAAGAAAACATATACTGTTGTGTTTTTGTGATAAGAATGTCTTGGCATAAAGTCAATGATAATGACACAGTCCCATTGCAAATAGAGGAAATGTTATTCATGGCTAAGATAAAGTAAGATGACCGCAAGTCTTTTGTCTTTTACCTGATTACAAATTAAATCGTTATGGACATGTATTGCTAAAT